AGCGGTTCTCTCTTTTTCCACATCCTTGGGAAAAGAAGGAAAAAGCAATTCCTTTGGATCTCTGAAGCCACAGCTCTGTACAGTCTCTCATTTGGAGAAACCAGCTTGAGCGACCACAGTTCTATTACAGGCTGTGGCTTTCCAAGGATGGGACAGCTCAGACATCAGGCAGAAAGAGCTTCAATGTACCATCAAAAGAAAGAATGATGAAAAGAGCTTCAGAGTACCATCAATGAGTCGATGTGACACCCAAACCAGCCTCTAAGTTAAGAAACTTCTGCTAATATCGTATGTTTGAAAGTGGTCCTATTTGCATACATGTGAAAGTGGCACTTCTGTATGATTCAGCATCAGAGCGTTTTCAAGCAGAATTTGGGCTGGACTTCCTCTTACTGGAAGGTTGGGCTGCTTCTCTTCCTCTGCGCTCTCTTTTTCTACATATTAACAAGCTTCAAGCTCCTCCTTTTCTGAACCATCTGATCTGAATTGTGCCTTAAAGGCTGGTACCCCCCAGATCCCCAAAGACACCTCCTTGCAGTGCAATGGGATGTGCCTCGATCTTCTTTGGGTGCATTCATGTAGAAATATTAACTTGGGATGCGGACATATATTGTCTAACACAGAAAAAACGCTCATTAGGTTCCAGTTAGAGTCTGCATAGATCTTTCCACAGAGGAAAAAGCAATTTACCCTCGTTGACACTAGTCAAGTGTGTCAATGTTGGCGTGCAGTTTCAGGAAATGCTGTAGGATCATTTTTAAAAATTATTCTAGACATGAAAATAAGCTACGTGCAGGAAGGTGCTCCTTGATTTGTGATGGTTCTCCTACAGCTATTCCTGCTCCATCCAACTTACAAATGGTTATTTAATTAGTGATCTAGACTGTTCAGAGCACATTCATTCATCTCCTCCTATGACAGAATTATAAAATGTTACAATAGGCTGAAGTGTTGTCACAGTCAATATTTCATATAATTAGAGCAGGTCGCCAAGTATCTTTGGCCTTGCGTTATTGATGGCTTAATGAAAAGACTATTTCTCCTTTGAGAACATCTGTTTTTAAACTATATTTATATAGTCCTTACCCCTTATGAGATAGTTCAGAGCTTTCAAATAACTGTCATCCTTTTGCTCAAAAGGATCTATTTATTCATTTCACATGGAAGGTCAGTATTTTCTTTGCAACCCAACTGGCACAAACTCTGTGACAATTTAATATCAGTGTTTATCGTGTTTCTGCATCTTCAGGCCTGAAACCAAAGTTATTTTAACTCCAAATTATTTGTAGGGAAGCTCTTTTTGCCCAAGTTCAATTTTGGCAGGAAAATAAACCCTCCTTTTTAATTTCATATCATTAAGCTGAACACAGCTATCTCAAGAGTTCAGTGGGGTTCCTTTCTGCCTGACATGCTTTTTTATTGTGAAGCTGGATAACAATCCCAGGCACAGAATCATCTAGTAAAATGGTGGAACTGTCTCCCGCCTAGATTTTTGTTTTATAAAAAAACTACACTAGAAAATGTAGTATTACACAAAAGTCTGAAACAATCCTTCCTAGAGCCATCAGTTTGACCTTTTAAATTTGTGTTGGAACAAATGGCTCTTCTTTAATGTAAGAATCCCCAGACCCAAATAATTGGTGTCAATGGACAAAATTCCGGGGTTTTCTTTGCCTATGTATTTGGCCAAAGATACTAGACCAGTCGGAGGTGATCTCAGGATGGACCTACCAGTCATGCCTGGAGATATATTGTAGGAGAACATTCCCATTGCGAATGCCTCTTGCCAATGAGCATAGAGTTGGGATCCTGGAGAGGTGGTGGACAGGACAGTACTTCTGGAAGAGTCTCTGCTCCTGCAAGGCATTACTCATTTTGGAGAACAACGCACAAAGTCTAACTGCATTGCTTTCGCTGACTTCTCAGCACAGAGGTAAGAACTGCAACTTCTGGAATCAACAACCTGTCACGATCCACAACACGAAGCAGCAGACTGAGGTTTTGCTGAAACCAGGTGTAAACTGATAGTAACATTCAACCTTGAGGCTCTTAAGGGGTAGCAGGTGGTATTTGGTTCTGCCTCTGAACTCCACAGTGTCCTGCATTCCCCTACGCTGAACAGTCATGTCAGGGAAGATCAATGCAGTGGTTGTGACTTTTGCAGCTAAATGAATTCTGTGGTGTTTTGGCTCTCTTCAGCCTTTTATCAGGTTGGTCCAGATGAAGACAGTATGAAAATACTTGAATGGTGGATATTTACCATGTTCATTAAAAAGAAGGGGAAAGAAAAAGAAGGTGAAAGAAACTCAGCAACTTGAGCAAACACAATTTTATGTAATTGTCTTTGATTAAAAAAAAAAATAATTAAATAGCTTAGCTCTCACTGGGATTTGCCTAAGGGACTACCATGAATGAGTTACACAACTCAGCATACATTCATCAACTGACTCCTTGCAAAACCATATGGCTCCTTGCAGGGATTTCTTTAAACATTATGCATGGATATGAAATTGGTGCCTTTGTTAAGTATGTTGCTTGAGGCTCATTTTGAAATACTGTTTCTAGATAGTACAGCAATACTAATTTTGCAAGCAATAACCTAATAGAAAGCAGTTGTTCAGGCACTTTCAATCAAATTAAGAAGAGAAATAGAAAAATGAGAAATATTAAGAGAGCAAACTGATCTAAACTTTAAAGATGAGCTGTGCCATTGTGTGTGGCTTTCACATGGAAATCCATTTAACTTGATGGAAGGCAATGAGGAAGGGAGAAACATTACATAGGAAGACAGCATTGGTTTCATGTATGGAATCAGAAATAACGGAACCACTGCAAAATGTATATATTCATTAACTGCAGTAAATTTGTTTGAAAATATGAGTTCATTGCTTGTAGAAAGTTTTAATGATGTCTTCCCTTATCAAAGGAGCCAGTAGAGACAGCTGCAACACCAGTTCATATACGTTACTTCCAACACATGCTTTAACTGTGCATTAATGGAAATACCATTCAGATGTGAATAGTTATTTTAAATGTCTCCCTTCTTTAGGATGCTCAAAGCAGGCACCTGCAAGGGCTTGGTCTTTCCCAGTGGTTAATTGGCACTTTCAGAGATGGAGGGGCCTGCAGAACATTTCTAACTGAGCACCCAAAACCAACAGCAGGTCAGGCGCTGCCAAGAGCGAATCCCGAGCAGCCCCACCACCTCCAATAACTGAACCACACTTGTGTGGCTGGTGCAAAGGGACACCAAAATATGGACAAATCTTTTAACCTCTCTCTCACCATATGTGACCCTAAGGGTAGCAGGATGCACGCCAGGGTCATGCTATTGAAGTACAGCTGCTTTCCTGAGGGTGGGAAAAGATGAGGGACTACTTTGGTTAACCCTGTTATCCGACTGCAGCAGAACATGTACTGTGCTTTAAGGATGAGACCCAAGTAGGTAACACCCCCTTGCTTTGCTCAGTTCCTTGGCTTCTCTTATTGCTGTGATCCTTCATCAGCTTCTCTCTCCATATGCTGACAGGTTACCTATAGCATTTGTCAAGCACTCTGAGGTTCTCAAGAGGAAGGTACTGTATAAACACAGTTGTGGTCTAATACTCCCCTTGAAAGTCCTGACAACTGGGGTCTATTCACCATTGTTTCCTTCCAGTTTTTTATATATAAAAGTACCATTTTGCTAGGGCTACACAGTACCAATCCTCTCATCCCTGCACTACTCTAAAGCCAACATAATTTCCAAGTGCTGCAAAGACGAGGACCTTTCCCAAAGAGAAAATCCATCATTTACACCACTGGAAGCCAAATGTCACAAAGCGCTGGGAAAAAATACTATAGTTTTGGTGAAGGAGTACTGGCCTGTGGTTGCTTACTTCCTCCTTCCACCGTATCCTTGCCTTTGCAACCGACAAAACCATGACAAGAAGCTCCAATTGTGTTCCACATGGTGTATGGAGAGCCCAGGTGAGAAACTATTGTGAAAGACTCTACAGACCCTCTAGGCTCTGGATAGCAGCACCTACTGAAGAAAATTCACTTTCCAATGCAGAATTGAGGAGGGGCCGGGTTGCAGGGTGACACGAATGGGGCCTGGTTCCCTGCCTTCCTGGCTCTATTGGCTTCTTAGATAGAGAGGGCTGTGGGCGGAGGGAAGAAGCGGGAGGCCTAAGGTTGGGCTCCCCTCACAGCTCCGAGGAAGCCCTGCTGTAAGGCGTGAAGGCCGGGGGGCTCCGCTCCCCACACCTGACCGGTCACCGCCTTCACCCAGCGGGGGGGGTGGTTCTCCAAGGGTCGGTGCTACGGCCAGGCCTCGCGCGCCCGCCATGCCCTCAGCGCCCCGCCTCCGCACCCACAGCTCACAGTGCCTCCCCCATCTCCACAGCCTGCCCCAGCTCAGTCCGGCTTCTCCCCAGGCCTGTGCTCAGCCCTCCAGGCTGGGCCGTGGCCTCCTTTTCTGTCAAAACCGCCTTTATTGAGCGTTTCTCTGGAAATATCCTGAGTAGGTTTGTACTCACGGGGCTCTGCATGGTGGGCGGCTGTTGTTCCCCGCCGGGCCTCATGGAGGCCACTCGGCTCCCCGGGCGGGTGCAGCCCTGCCCGTTGGCTCAGCCCCTGCGCCCCCTGCGGTCAACAAGGGGTTAACACACACCCCCTCTCAAGCGAGGCGCGGTCCCTTTAAGGCCTCCCCCGCCTTCCTCTGGTCGCGCTTCCGGGTGGTGTGACGTCACGTTGACGTCACTGCGCGGAAGCCGGGGGTAGAGAGGAGGGCGGGGCTGCGGGCGCGTAAGGCGACAGCGGAGGTGGGGCGGTGGTAGGCGCCGGGGGAGGGGGGTGAGGAAGGTCCCACCCGCCGCGGGGCG